GGGGAGAAGTAGTCCCGCAGAGAAATCTGTGGGAAAGCAGGTGCTCAGGAGAGGGGACCAGGTGTCTCCTCAATTTATAAAAAGGTACAGAACAGAGACTAAGAACGTGGGACCCAGGCCAGGCCCTCGAGGCCCTGAATCCTGAGTTCTTCGAGGAGCCGGGATCGTTGAGGTGAGCGGTTCTAAGCAGGCTGGGTCTGACCCCAAGTGCTGTCCCAGACACACAACACAGGGTTAACCCACAGCCTTCCTGCCTGGCAGAGCTGAGGAGAGCACAGCGAACTGCACCCCAGGACAGAGGCCTCCCAGAAAACACCAGGAACAGCTGTTCTATCAGGTTCCACCATCCTGGCTCCACCATCATCCTCACCATCTCATCCAGGCACCCGCTGCTCCAGGCTCCCACAGAGCCCTGGGGGAGGATGGTTTGGGGAATACTTTCTTAAAGACTGACTCGTCTCAGCATGTCCCCGCTGGAATCCACTGGTGGCAGGAAAGGGGTTCGTGCAGGGTGGAAAGGTTACAAAGCACCAGCTCAATCTGCCTGTCCCATGCCCACTTGACAGATGGGGAAACTGAGACTGGCACTTTATGCAAGTCAGGACCGGAGGGGATATGAAGCTGGGCTCAGGACTCCTGTGCCTTCTGCCCGGACAGCTGGCTCCTCGGGTCTGGGCGCCAAGCCCGCTCCCTCCCGCCCGCCTGCCATCTGCCCTCACTCCACTTCCTCCTCGTGGTCTCCCCACTTCTCCCCAGCCTTTGTTCTTTCTCCCCAAGGCGCTGGGCAGCGGGTCATGTGGGGTTCCCGTGTGTGGCTGGGGCCTCCCCAACACAGGACCACATCCTTGCAATCAGTCAGTCACTGCCTGTCACCTCAGCCTCTCCAGGGACCTCTGACTGTGGCTTCTCCTCTAGAGGGGGTGTAAGACCCCATTCCATGAGTGCCTAGAGGAGCTCACTGTCACCACCACGTGTACGTTTCACAGGTCTTTAAGTCCTCCCCCAGACCCTGGCCACCTCAGTCCCATTTTACAGATGAGGAAGTGGAGGCTTAGATGTCCCAAGATCACACTCAAGTCAGGTTCACCAGCCCCACACACACACACTATCCCCTGAATCGCCTACACCAACATGGCACAAGCTCCCAGCCAACATCCCCTGAGGGTCTGCTGGGCAGGTGGCCCCACCCCAGACCTGGGAGAGATGAACCACCCCCGGAGTCCACCACAGACAGACATGAGACAAAGAGATTCCAGAACCACCACTGAGAACTGATTGTGAGGGACCCACCTCCCCGTGTAAGTGACAGGTCTTGGAGAAAACAGACTGGACATGGTCACTGGCCTCACAGGACACATACTTCCACCCTGCTCAAAACCCTGGGGCCTCCACGTGGCTCCCACGGCCCTCAGGTGAGGGCCAGCTCACGAGAGTCTCATCTTGGGTCACCTCCTACCTCTTTCTCTCTCACACCCACCACCACCAGGTACCGCCATGGCCACCACCTCCTCCTTCTCCGCCTCTAAATAGCTCCTTCCGAGCCTCCCACCTCCTGCATCTGCATACACTGTTCCCTCCTCCTGGAAGTACTCCACACTTTAGGCAGAGACAACTACTATCCCAGACTCCCTTCTGGGAGTGTCCCCAGCCTCCTAAGTGGTGGCTGTGACTCAGTTCTGGTCTCCTCTCTGGACTGAGCATCTCCAGACGGGATGCAGAGACTGGCAGTAAAAAAGGACTTGGTGTGGAGGGGACAGATGAGAGAACCTCAGAGACCTTTGCCTCCAACAGGGCTCCTCTGTCTGCTCCCGTGGGCTCCCTATATCAAGAGGCTAATCTTTGGCAATGTAGGTGGGAGGGGTCCTGTCTTGCTGCATTTGCACAAGGAAGGCTCTTGTTAGTGGAGAGTGGGAAGGAGGCTGATGAGGATGGGGTGCCCTGCACTCCACGGCACCCTAATACCACTTCAACCCAGCCAAGGAAGCCACAGGCTGTACCCTGAAGAAGGTGCACACAGACCAGGTGCACTGACAGTCCCGAGCCAGCAAACAAGTCACTTCCCCATCTTTAAAATGGGGGCAATGACAACCAAGAGAGGAACTCAGAAACGGCGGGACTGAAAGACAGAGCCTTGGACAGCACCTCTCGCCCACCGGCACCTGAGCTTCGCAACCTGAAGGTAAGAGGCAAATGCCGAGAGCGGAAGGTGGCCTTCCATGACAGCGGAGTGCTCACGCAGTCACTCTCCCCACCCGGCCTCAAAACAAAGAAATGAGTCACTGTCACTGACAACCTCTCGACCAGCTGCAGTGCTGGCCACAGGGAACCTGGCCCAATCGCCTTGTTCAGATGGAGAGACAGACACGTGGTGAGGTGGGGGACCCCTGCTGAAGGTCACAGCTGGTATCTGGAGGAGCCACGGTGGCCAGTCCTCATCCCTCAGCCTGCAAGGCCCCAACCCCTACCAACAGATCCCTGCCGACGGGGTCAGAAGGCAGAAGCTCTCAGCTGGACCCTGCCAGGACCGGCTTGACCAGCCCCGGGGGACAGGCCAGAGGGGAGCTGAAGAGTCCGTCAAGAAGATGTGACCAGCAGATACCTGAAAACCAATCCTGAGCCTCTAGTAGGCCTCAAAGCATTTACTGCTTGGGGACCCTCTTCAGGAAACATAAAACAGGAAAACATCGTCCACTGCAAATATCATAAAATCAGGAGGCAGTGCAGGGCTGTGGAAGGCGGTGACCCATGTCCCTGTGTGCCCCATCGGAGTGGGTACCAGGAGAAACTGAGACTTCTCTAACTATAGCGTGTGAGGGACAAGAGTCGGCCACCAGCGAGCGCCATCACTGCAGCCTCCCACTGTGTTAAACATCTGGTTCCACCATATGGATCCAATAGTTTCACACCGCCCTCTCCAACTGGTGAGACCACATGGGGCCCTTGAATCCCCAGTAATTATTTTTATGATCAGAAAAAACTCCCAATAATTGTACAGATAACAGTCGGCCCGTACCAAGTACTTATTTATATAAAGGGCATTTGAATACCATGCCTAGTGTGTGAGGGGGCTTGGAGGGCGGGGAGGGCCTTCAGGCACTGGATAGGGGTGGGCCCAGCTGACTCCTCTCCTCTTTCCCACTCCTGAAATTCCAGGATCCTTCACTCCCCTCTGCAAGAGAAGGTACCGAGCTTTGTGGCCGAGAGTTCAAATCCTCTCCCATGCACACTCTACATTCTGAAGACTGTCCCTTTAGGCGTGCAGCAGGCTATTGGGAGAACTGGCTGGGTAATAGCCTCAGGTACACCTGGCACAGGTAGGTGCTTGGGTTCCTTCCCTCCCTCCTGGCCAGAAGTCTCAGTAGTGAACACTGAGGCTTGTGGACCAATCTGAAGTAACCTCCTCCAACCGCTTCACAAACCCTGGAGTCTCTGCTTTAAACTGCCCTTATAGGGGTACCTGAGTCACACTTCCTTCCCTTGAAGCAAAGGATTCAACTCAGCTTTGCTAAATGAAGCTGTCACAAGTCAAGTGACCTGAACAGTCACTCACCCACAGCTTCACACAGAGCTGGGGGCTTCTCCCTCCCTGGTCAGTGTCCTGGGGCTGGCAGAGTTAAGCGGCCGGTGTCTCCAGGCCAATCAGGGTCTATGTGGAGACCTCGGTTGGCAGAGACTGTGAATCCAGTGCCACAAATCCTTGTGGACACGTTTGGGTGACCACAGCTAACAGACGCAGCTGCTCTGCTTTCAAAGAGCTCTCCATCTGTTGGCACTGGAGGGGGGTGTACACACCTCATTCCTGGGCCCGGAACAGGTCTGAGCATTTACAGACAAAGGAAACACAGCTCACTCGCTCGCTCTCTGGGAGGCCGGAGATAAACACTCGAGTCATTCCCCACCCAGACCCAAAAATGGTCCCCAAAACCAGTGAAAGGAGTGGAGTGAGCACACCTGAGGTCACACCTGGCCTTGGCCATGGGCCTGCTGGATGGAGTCACCAGGACAAGGCCAGGCCTACAAGAGGTGGGCCTCTGATGAAGAGCCCTGGCACCCTTCTCAGACCTAGGGTGGCTAGCACACTTTTCCAGGGGTCCTGGGGAGGGACACCTGAACCCGTCCACCTAGGCACATGTGTCTCTGTTCCACTTCCCTCAACCCCAAGTTTCACAGGGATCACACTTGGCTCTCAGAGCTGGGGGTTTAGGGGGGCTGCTCCTCAACAGGTTGGGGGTCTAGTAGGGCCTTTCTGCCACTTGCTATACAGAGGAAGTCCATCTCATCTCTGACATCACCCCCATCCAGGTGTGACTTGGGAGAGAGAGGGACCAGGAATTCCTGAAATGTCAGAGCCCAAGGAGGCCTAAAATTGGCTCCTCCCACCTGCTCTCTAAACCAGGAAACTGAGGCAGAAGGCGATGTCCTGGCTTCCTGTGACATTTTTGGGGTGGTTTACACCCCAAGGTCACGCTGCCAAGGAGAGGCCGTCCCGGTGGAACCCAGGTATCCGGCTCCCGGCACGAAGCGCCTTGACGACCCCGACGAGCAACAAACCCGTTTGTCCTCTTCCCCCGCAAGTGCTGGGGGCTGGCACGTCCTGCCCCCAAACTCGCAAGGTGATTTACGCCCTGATCCACCCAGAAAGGCCACCTGAAACCGGGGCTCTGTCCCCACCGTCGCCGGTCCGCCCAGGCAGCCGCGCGCAACCCGAGCCGCAGAGGCGCGCGCGGCCTGGAGGTCATGGCGATGCGGCGGGGGGCCGTTAGTGGGGGGCTTCAGGAAGCTGGGGGCCTCGGAGCCGAAGGGGACCTCCCCATGTGTGCCAGGACCTTTACCCAGAACCCCAGAAGAAAGAAGGGCGGACGACTGCACCCCGGTATACGGGCACCCCCGCCCGTGGCCGCCACCCTACCGGGGGTCCGTGTGTCCAGGTCGGTCCAGACGCGCCGCCCTTGCCCTCGCCCAGCGCCCCCAGCCCGCCCGCGGCCACCCGCCGTCCTTACCCAAGACACGACGCGGAGGATGGTGTGCGGCTGCCGGATCAGGGTGTAGGGGTCGAAGGCGCCCC